CGTACGTACGTACATACATATGTACATACATACACATGCATACATACATAAACACACACACACATATATATATATATATATATAGTGTCGGCAGTGTGTCCGGCACTTTTTTTTGGTTATTCATGTTTTACTCACAAACAAAATGAGGGTTAGAGTGTAAAACAGTATAAAACAACGATGGTGGTAAGTAACAGCATGGATGGGGGACTGCGAGCTGAATGGGAGTATCGATGTCCAGCAACAGACCCACAGGGGACTGCTAGCTGATTAAGTTCGCGAGTGATGATACGGATACCAGCAAAAAGAGTTGTATTCACTTTCCCTTTCGAGCCAAACAAACACGAATACGTATTAAGAAATAGAGGCCTTGACCATCAGGGACACTCTATGGTACGCTAGTAAGCAGGTATATTCCCAATAAAATCGAGTCCTCTATAAGTCATATAGCTCAACGGTAGACACCCAATCATACCTGGATGCCACTGATAGAGCTCCACTGTCCCGGATAACGGGCCATTCTTTAAGCCGACAGCCATACTTACGATTATGATCGTACTCGCTTTAATGACAGATCGACTTGTGGTGTAGACTTTCGTATAAATAAAGATATGAATACATACAGAAATACCGTACGTCATGTGTTGTTATTATAAATATTAATAAAATACATATTTTTTATAAAAAATTATATGCATGGTTCGCTGGTTGAAAACTGGATTCTCCGCAGGACAAATCATTTCCGAGAGACAATTCCAGAGGGGTTTTGCGCGTTTGAAATATCTAAATATTTACGCTGAAATAAAAGAGGAGGCTATGATGTATCTTCAGATTTGATATCGCTTCCTGACGTAAAAACCACTTTGACATTCTTTGCTAAACGGAAGAAAAAAACCCCTATTCCAGGGCTATGCTTGTGGTTTGTGAGCTGTTAATTCACTTACTCACGTACGCACTAGAGACAAGCAGCTTCATATTCAATTCTCATTTCAGCGATAAATGTATATAAAATGTAAAGTTCAGCAATACATTTTCGATTAAGTGCCGATACGAAATCAAGGTCTAGGTTTTTAGTGAAGTACTGTATCGATATTATTGTTGCTATTCGTAAAATTTCATATTCTGGAAACGCTATTGGAAATACTTTATTCAAATTCAAAGGTCAAATGTCTTCAGTTAACTATCGAAGTGTTTATCTGTGCTCTTATGACTCGTCATCGACGAATTGTAGACCAGGAGTGCTGGGCGTATTGACAATTTCCTCGGGTTCACTATCAGTGCCCGCATCATCAGTGTCCGCACCATCGACATCGATTATTGTTGCTGAGCCTCCAAAGCTCTGAAAGGGTGCAGTGGCAGGGTCATCAACTCTGTCCTCCTCAATCACGGTAGTATCCATTCCGTCAACAGTAGTGTCCATATCATCAGTAGTGTCCGAACCGTCAGTAATATTGGCAGTGTCGCTGTCCGGCACATCTTCAGTTCCGGAATCGATACCATCGGCAGCTCCAGTTGAATTCGCAGCTCCAGTTGCATTCATTGGCCTAACTACCTCAGCAACAACTTCACTGACGGTTTCATTAACTACGACCTGCCCCGTTACGATGGCTTTTGTAACTAGTCGCACACATTCAGCAGTTGCTGCGTATGACAGCGTTTGATTTTCACCTTCAGGAGCAGCAATGAAAGGGGACCTTTCCGAATAGCGAAATGTCTTTGGCTCGCAACCACGCCCGAACTCGAATTCCATTGTAACACCACTCTCTACACTAGCACATGCGGCGCGCTGTCTCTCTGGGTGGGATAAAAAGTTGCTAAATGCACATACCGCTTGCCTGCTTTCGTCTGGTGCCGAGGCTGGATGGCGAGCAGATATGAAGTTGAAGTCGTCTTTGTTGCTGAGGGCATGGGTGTAGTTCGTCAAAAGCTTGGCCCAAACACCACTGGCGCTGTCGTGGGCTAGTGCTTCGGCCATGCACGTCCAATTGCCTTCAATGTTCAATTCAGCATACGTGGGACAAGCCTCCAAAGCTTCCGGTGCATTAGGGTCGATACCGTTCGGGTCAAAGGTCTCCACGACTGTCGAATTCACTTTCGTTTGATTGGTGGTAGTGACATTGGCACCAGTTACCACACCCCCTTCAGGAGTTGCTACGCCTATTATATTCAAATCGGCAGGTACAGCTGTATCGTTGCTCTGCGCGTAAACTGTACTAGATGATGCTAGGCACACCGCTAGCAAGTACTGCAATGTGGCTGAGATATGCATAATAAATCTTAGCTGATATTCCAATCGTTCAGAAACGATTGATCATGTGATCAGGCTGTGCTTCAACGCAGGTAATATATAGGTACATATTTAAAAAAAACACGTACGTAGTTTGTTTTGAGCCGGTATATGGATATTTCCCGTGTAGATTGTTGAAAAGTTGAAAATCCGGTCAAATATCAACATAAAAATTAAAACCTGAACAAACTAATGTTTAAACCCAGAAAGTCAGGAACAATGCTACGGAACTTGTGTAAACCCACTACCAGTGTAAAGACTCTAAAGTGTAAAAAGTAAACAATAGTAAAGCATTTTAATTGGAGTAAAATAAAAAACTTAAACGATAGCAATTGGTTAGAAAATTTGCATAGTGCATAGCGATTGGCCGATTAAATACTATATACTGATTAGCGTAAAATTTCCTGGGTTGGCATCCGACGACGACGTACAGTCGTACACCCCTGAAAAAATTAAAATGTCGCCGCGACACGTAGTACATGACGTTTGGTGTTGCGACAGTCGGGTTTGGGTCAACACTAGGTCTGTCGCCGACACCCGACGCCGACCAATATGTCTGACATAATGTCGTGCCGACATGTCTGACATGTCTTAATAAAAGTTTTACCAGCCCAAAAAAAAAAATCCTCTCTCTACTGACTCCAGTGACCATAATCCACTCTGAATCTGGCAGACTGGCACTCACTCTCCGCTGTCTCCAGTCACTCTCTGCAAAGAATAGAAAATTCAGAGTACATTCTATAGTATATGTACAATTGTACAAACGTACATGTAATTCTGTACACTAAACTCGACAGTCTACAAGTTTACAACAGCCTATTATTATTTATTTTTAAATGCATAAAAGTTTAATACTGTATGCATACGTATACAGTGAGCATCGCATAGAAAAATAGATCGGAGATACTGTAATAAAAGAGTAAATAGAGCCGAATCGTAGACGACCTCATTGATGTCAACTCTTCCCGCAAGGGAACAACCCACTTGTGTATTTCTAATGGGTATCCAAGTGGACTGACTGATATAATGTCACGAACTACATCTTTGCAGCTTATGAGGTATTTCAACGTGCTATGCACGGTACTCGACGTTGCTATATATTTCATTTACCATGTATCATTCAATCGACGTGAGAAAGGGCGACTCAATAAGTATCTCGCACTTCCTCGTTTTTTTGTGATTGTTTTTTTTTCAGGATATCCGTAACCCTTGCCTAAGCTACCTTGTTGGACAGAATCGCTAAATATGTATAACAGAGATGTCCACGAAGGTACATTATATTTGAGCTCGAAATAGGAAGCAATTGATTGGCGGCCGCATACGTGATGGTAACTGGTAACGACACTGGACATGATGGGATGTCACACAGTTTCACAAACAGAGTCACCACACTAGTAGAAGCTGTACATCGCGAGATGGCCGAAGGTATGCGAACTTTGAAACTATGTTGCAGTTACGTACTGCCAATTTATATCGTAATATGTGTGACAATTGAACAATGTTAGAACAAGTTTTGTGTTTTTGCACCATCCGACCTTGTGTCTGTACAGCATCTGAATTTAGCCACAGAACACTCAACGTGAGCGGTCAAATTAGAACATATTAACTGTCAATAAAAGTACAAATAATTAGCTTTTATTTCTGGGAATATTGAGAGTCACCCTCGGGCGTCATTTTCGGCGGCACAGACACCGGGACTATTAAATTTGAGAAGTCTTCAACGACACCTGGTAAACATATCCAATGGGTATTGTTGTGAGTGATACAAATGTGTATACAGTTCGATTCGCAATATGCATTATAACATGCAGATTGCTCACAAACGTAGCGCCAATCGGCTGCGTTTCCAAACAGGCGGACATATTTTGTTAATAAACTTTTAAAATATAAGGGAATGAAAAAAAGAAACGAAGTAATGGAGTTACGAGCGAGAGTTTCTGTCTCCAACAGGGTAATATAAATAGAACGGGGCCCTTTCGACATCGAATCCTACCTTCTAATTTGTAAACGCACGCAAGAACATCATCTTGCTTGATGCCCAGTTCTTCCAGGGTCCTGTCTCTATCTAAGGCACCTGAAACCACTGTGTACTTCTGATCGTTCCCCGTTGCTGTACAGAGAGAGGTGGGTCTTTCTCGAGGTTAGTATTTTACACATAACCACATGGATCCATAGAACAAGCAAGTATGAACATGTATCCACACATAGGGCAGCACATCCAATAGATCTGGCAATCGATATTGTTGGGGGTCGTGCGCGATTAGCGACTACCAAGTGTACACCCGAGCAAACTACAGCTGATTACACTGTCGATCGTAAATTGCACCGACGATGATAGCCGACGGAAAACAATTGTATACACAAAACTCTACAAAAATCTTTGCGGTTACAAAAATACTACGTTACGATGCACACTACATACTCTTCATCAGCACGAAATCGCCCATATTCTTCTTCATTATCATCGCCACATCTTCCGAGATAAAATCTATTGTATCTGTCTGTAGATGTAAGGGATGTCATTAACGACAGATACATACAGCAATAGTTTGCTACTGGCCAGGAACACTTATGAGGCCTATTGTATCCGTCTGTATCCGTCTGTAAATATTGCTATTTGAGGAACGAAAAGTACCCATGTCGATAGTTATCTGCTACCAAGATACACGCTGGATGGATAAAACTTATGTCAAACGTATCATACGATACGTAGCAATTGCAGATTTTTTTATCCCCCAATACAAGCACTTCACAAAAATGAATCTAAGCAGAAACACATCATTGGCAGTGTAAATCCTTTGATCTCAGACTATGCCGTCTTTTTCCCCACATGGCGTACAACATGCAACAAAAGTTAAACAATATGGGGTGACGGTCACTATAGCGTGGAGGTCGAAAGATCTGACCATCATGGGCAGTGATAAAAAGTTAAATCTGACTGCATTATTTGAATGAATATACACTTACCGGTAAGCAACCGATGAACATGGTAGACTTCTCACGCTTGACGCGTACGTACATTTCTTGGGAGTTATCCGTCTGTTGGGAGGCACATAGATATAAGATAATAGTGAGAACTGGACTAGTTGCCAAGAATTAATTTCACTATGATGCAAGAAAGAAAAAAATACGATAAAAAAAATGTTAGCTATTCACAAAGCTGTATGTCAAATAGGGAGTCAACACAAGAGGTGCTTACGAACTACCTATTCAATATAAAGAAGGGATACACAACTACTCTATCCGAAAGATGAAGGCAAAAACACACAACATTGCAGGTGAGTTGTGTAAAATGCGCAATATAAATCAAACATACACACAAATACATATAAAATATGTTTAAATTTCGCTCATACACGAAAAATGTGCTTGAGATAGTAAATATACACACGAGCAGAATTGGAAACAAACATTCTGAAGAGCTATATATAAATCTAGTCCCCTACTCAGCTACGGGGAACAGTAGTGAACTGTGAAAATATCAACATTCCTCGGAAGCTATCTTGAGAATGCTAAACCCATAATGACATATAATAATATAAATATATGATAATTTGTAATAATATAATCATAAAAAAATTAAACATGTATATAAATGAATAAAGCACACATATATATATTATAAACATGTATATATATATATGTGTGTGTG